AAAAATTCCCAGGTACAGCAAATGCTAATTAGGTGCCTGCAAATTAACCCCCGGAGGCCTCGCCAGGCAAAGCCTCCCAGGGCCGGCGGGCAGGAGGGGGCGGAGAGGAGAGAGGTGAGGTCCCAGCGCCCATGGGGCAGGGAGACTTCTCCTGGCCCATCTCCACAGGGGGCAGGGGCGAGGTGGGAAACCCCTAATTTCTGAGCACGACTGGAAGCTGACGGTAGTGAGGAGTTGGGGTTCTGGGGAGTTGGGGGCAGGGGTAGCCAAGCTGCAGGGGGGAGGGGAAGACAGACTAACATAGTGAGTGTCACTGTAGCTGAGGTTTAACCGGGAGGGATGCCCAGCTTGCTAGAACCACTGGGGCCAGGAAGGGGTGGGGGTCGCCCGTGCCCCGCCTGCACTTGTGGGAGGGAGTGTCTCGCCCCCCAGCGCCCCAGGCTGCATCCCGAATCCATCCTCCTGCCCCTCGGGGCAATTTAACCTTTTTCACGGAAAGTTATTTACAATAAAATTTTTTTTGAAAATAAAAATTTTTTAAATCTGCAAATGGACCTTTTTGCAACTTTCTTTGGGAAAAGGCAAGGGCACCGTGCGGAGGGGGGTCTCTCGTCGGTGCTGCAGGGGAAGGGCTGGGAGGGAGTTTGGGGGTCACTGAAACATGCCCCCCGATGACTGTCCCAGGGAGAAAGGGGAGAGGCAGCCCGAGGGCTCCCCTGCAGCCCGGGCCTCAGTGCCCCCATCTGCACAATGGGGATGAGCACACCCACAGCCCCCAGGAGTGTGTGAAAAAGGAGGCACCGCCCTGGGGACTCACAAAGGCCGCGCCTGCCCAGGGCTCTGCTGGGCGTCCCGCCGTGAGAGCCTGCCCAGGCTTGCCGGCCTGAATGTACCCTCCCTGGCCTGGGCCAGTCTCCAGCACCTCCCTCCCTCGGTCCCCTCCTGGAGGGGACAGGGTGTGAGGTCAGAGGGCCCCGTCCCAGGGCCCCACTCCCACCCAGCCCGTGCCTTCCCTCCCAGGCCCAGTGCAGGCTGGAGCAGGAGGAGGCCACCCGGGAAGCTTGTATGCCCAGACCCTCCCCCCTCTCTCACACTGGCCGATCTGCTCTGTGAGGAACCCAGTCTACCAGGGTTTTGATGGGGAAACTGAGGCCCAGAACGTGTGTTTGAGTGATACAGTGTGGCATCTCAGTCCCGCCCCCCAGCTCTGTCTGGAACCCACCTCTCCACTCAGCCCCACAAGAACACCCTGGGGGTGCACAGCTCCTCCCCCAGCACGCAGGCACACACACACACACACACACGCACGCACATACACACACACACACACGCACACACACACCCTGGCACAAATGGGCATCTCCCACACAGTCCTGCCCAGCCGCCAGGACCCCTTTCTCCCTTTCTCACCCAAGCCCTTTCTTTCCCTTCACTGGGGCTTGGCCCGAGGCCAGCCTGCATTCCCCTGGCTAACTTGCTGCTTTCACTTGCTAATGATTCCAAATATTTCAGAAGGGCGCACACTGCAGGGCCAGTGGGGTTGGGGCCTTGCTGAGCCCAGAAGCCAGCCCAGGCCCTTCCCACAGCAGACTGAGGCCGCCTCACTCCACGACTCCTTTCAACTCCCACCACCCACCAGCCCAGCTCTCTACTGGCCCCCAGCAGTGGGGAAGTAGTGGAGGGGGGCACTCTGGCCTTCTCCACTGGCCCCCAAGATCAGCCTCCAGCCCTGGCCAAAGGGGTTAGTTACATCACTGATCACCGGTGGGCGTGCCGCCCTCTCCCCCACCTCACCCTCTGCCTCCGCTGTGCTGGGGGAGAGGGCAAGGTCGGGCAGAGCTGCCCAAGGCGGTGAGGAAAGGCAAGGAGTGCGCAGAGGTGGGGCTCAGCCCTGGCTCTGGGGGGATGACCAGGCAGGCACCCCTGAAAATCCCTGTGCTGGGGCCCAGGCACCAACACTGATGCAGGGTCCCCAGACGCTACCAAAGCCAAGGGGGCTGGCGCACTGGGCTTCCCACTCGCTGAGCAGGCAGCATCTGCAGAGGGAAGTGTGAGTTTCAGAGCCCGTCCCTCCTGCTTGTCCCTGCCCCATGGCTTTTAGTTTTGTTTTTTATTTGTTTATACCCTGAGTGGTCAGATTATTTTGAACACCTGACATTTGTAGCAAATTAGCTATAATTCCTCGCTGAAGTTGCTAGAGGGCCAGACCATTATAGGGAAGCAGGTTGTTTACCAAGACAGCAGAAGTGGGTTTTTTTTCTGAAGATACGAGTAAACAACGCGATTTAACAGTCTTTGAACATAGAATATATATCTATATCGATATAGATATAGATATAGGTATAGTATTGATTTCAGAGAGAGAGAGGGAGAGAGAGAGAAACATCAATAATGAGAGAGAATCATTGATCGGCTGCCTCCTGCACGCCCCGCGCTGGGAATTGAGCCAGCAACCCAGGCCTGTGCCCTGACCGGGAATCAAACTGACCTCCTGGTTCATAGGTCGATGCTCGACCGCTGAGCCATGCCGGCCGGGCATGCCCTGGTGGCTTTTTAAGAAGCTGTTCATTTACCTCATAGTTACTGATGGATTCGACGTGACCCCAGTCAGAAGAACTGCAGCGTGTGACAGTGAGCTGCAGACACAACGCCCATCAGCACAAACTACTGGAGTGTGTATGTCCTTAGAGCAAGGACAGTCCTGCAAACCCTCCTGCCACCGTCACCATCAGGACATGGACATTGACCTGGTAATCCCATCTCACCACCAACCCACTCAAAGTTTGCAGATGGCCCCACTGATGCCCCTCTCCGGCCCAGCACCCCAATCTTGATTTTTTTTTTAGAGAGAAAGGAAGGGAGAAGGAGATAGAAACATCCATGAGAGAGAAACATCAATCGGCTCCTGCACGCTCCCTACTGGGGATTGAACCGCAACCCTGGGATCTGCTCTGACCGGGAATCTAACCGGTGACCTCTTGGTTCATGGGTTGATGCTCAAAATCACTGAGCCACACCGGCCGGGCAGTCCTGTGTGGCTTTGAGCAGGTTCCTCATCTCCTTTAATCCCCACCTCTGAGGTGAGAAGCCCCTAAACTACTTCACTCTTAGGTGTTGGGGCAGCCCTCCCCAAGGAAGCCGCTTTTCTGTCTCCTAAGTGGTCCCCTTTGCCCCAGCTTCCGTGTGATACGGGGAGAGGGCAGGAGCTTGGAGCTGAGGCCCTTCCCCTCCCTGCCCAGAGCACATCCTGCTCCCCTGGCCAGGCCCCCACAGGCTCCAGCTGCCTGGGATCCCCTCAGCCTGGGGCTCCAGGCTGTCCCGCAGCGGAAGTCCAGGCGCCTGCAGAGCTGAGCTGAGGATGGAACAGCTCTCCACCCCCCACACACAGCCGCTCTCCACCCCCCACCCACAGGCACAGACTTTCAGAAGGAAGAGAGGGAGCTGGGGTGCGGGGAAAAGGGGGTGTGAGGGCAGGTGGGGAGGAAGTGGGCAGGAGCCAGGCGCACTTCCATCCTGGGCCAGGCCCAAAGGTAAACAGGTGTATTTGGACTCGCAGCAGGGGGCAGCGGGCAGGCCTGAGCCTGTCTGGGGTGGAGTGGGGGGGGCGGGTTGAGTAATTTAGGAGTTGCAAGAGAATGTGATAGTTAACAATGGGGTGGAGAGTGGCCCAGGTCCTGCTGACACATTCTTGTGTAATGATGAGGAGAAAACCCAGGTGACAAGGGAGGGGAGGCACCCTGGGGGACTCTGTGAGGCCACCCATGCTGGGGCTGCACTGACTGTGTGAGGCAGGAGACACATGGGGGCCCTGGGGGTCACCCGCCTCCTGGGGCACATGTGTCTGTCCCACTCAGGGGCTCCAGGTGGGACAGGGACAGGTCAGAGTCACCCAGCGGGCATGCTGGGGCCTGACCTTTCCTGTGTGGTCAGCAGTGGGCAGGGATCAGCTGGAGGCACTGTACCCCAGAAGCCAACCAGCCTGGGGGGTGCGGTGCAGGGAGAGGCTGGTGCACACTCACCGGGGGTGACAGGACCGAGGTCTCCATGCCCTGCCCCAGCTCCGCACAGCCCCTTGCCCTGCCCCACGCTAGCTCGCTAGCTCGGAGGGCACGAGGGGCTCAGACCCTCTTTCCCCTGGAAGGAAGCAGCTCCCTGAGCTCCTGGGACAGCAAGACTCCAGCAACTGGGGAGAGCAGGCCGCCTGCACACAGCACCCCCGCCCATGGCCCCCAGGCCCCAGGGCCCTTTGAAGCCACAGCAGCGACTGCCCACAGCCCTCCAGGCTGTTTGCCCAGGGAGCGAAGCTGAAGAGAGGCTGCTGTGTGTACGCAGAGCCACCCACGGGCTCTGTCAGGGGCCCTGCCCCGCCCCAGGCCACCCTGCCCTCTTCCTGCCTCATCTGGGCACCAAGCCTGGGCCCTATCCCCACATGATATTTCAGTTTCGCCAACTTGCTTAAAGTTGCTGTGCTGGGCAGGGTGGGTGGTGGTCCCAGCGGCGGGAGGAGTGACATACAGACCCTGCCTCAGATTGCCCATCTCAGAAGCCATGGGGTCTGCAGACTCCCGCGGGCACAGAACCTCCTGTCCTGGTGCTTTCTACATTTGCAGCATCAAGCACACGGCCCGATTTCCTAAGGAAGGAAGGAAGGAAGGAATGAGTGAATGAATGAATGAATGAATGAATGAGCTGGCTGGGCAGATGGACAAAAGGTAGAGAAACAGCCAAGGAGCCTTGGCCGATTCCGACTGCAGACAGTAAATACGAAGGGGTTCCCAGCCAGTGGGGCTGGGCTGGGGCTGGGGGTTTCTGGGGGCCCCGGGCTGCAGAGGTTGGGGAGAGAGCGATCAGGTGAGGGGGTCTGGGCGGAAAGCCCCACGCTGCCCTGCTCTGGACAAGTAAGCAGCCCTTTGCTGACCCTGTGGGTGTGGGTGGGGCAATAAAAGAGACAGCG